CTGGAACAGGCTGCCCGGGGAAGTGGCGGAGTCACTGTTCCTAGAGGGGTTTAAAAGCCTCGTAGATGTGGTGCTGAGGGACGTGGCTTAGTGGTGGACTCGTGAAGTGCTGGGGTCTAAACCCCCGGCCCTGAATCAGGATCGACATATGGATGATGCCCACAACCAGGCAGAAGAGACCTCCCTCTTGGTTTTCTCTCAAGGCCTGGCCAGCCTTGACTTAAAACCAATTAGGAAATTAATATCAGGTGTCCCGCCTCTAAAGCTAATAGTATAAAAGCTGGCTCTGCTTGCAGTGCCTGGAGAAGTTTACCTATGTAGTGGATGTGCTATGTAGGGCTTCTTGTTATTGGAAGGGCTCCCTGATTGTGTCCATAGTGAGTGGAGTTCCCAGTAGCTGGACAAAATCAAGACCAGAACATTGTTATGTATGTAATGATGCTTTTCTCCAGCAATTATTATAGTGATTTCCATATGGTGGGAATTGCACTGATGACTGGTTTCTAGCTCAGCTTACCCCTTCCTTTGCTACATTATGCACCATGAATGAATATACTTATTTAGTTATTTCTTCTTTTGTTGGTCACATCATATCCTGCCTGTATTCTTTGGAATGGGATGGTAAAGTCTGGCCTATATGTTTACTGCTGATGGCCTTGTTGTTCATGCTGGGCTGCACAGTCAGCAAAAGAACTTGGCAGTGCTGGGTTAACAGTTGGACTCAATGACCTTAAAGGTTTTCTGCAACCCAAACAATTCTGTGATTCTATTGCAATGAAATCACCATCTGAATTCAGTCATCGTTTCAATTGCACATACGCTCCAAGTTTCTCACTTTAACAGAATTACTGAGTTGGTAGTTTACTGCGCTCATATTTATTCTTGACTGTGATAAATGTGCACGATTAAAAGCGTTATAAGAACCAGCACTTGTGTGTTAGAAGGACGAAGTGGCCGCGCCTCAGTCCCGCCCCACCGTGTGCGTCTCGGGGGGCCTGTCGATGCGGAAGAGCAGCTCGGCGGGCAGGAGGTAGCCCAGGTACTGCACGCTGTCGGGGCTGGTGTCCTGGTGGTAGTGCCCTCCTTCCCCGTGGTGGCTGAAGCAGTGGGTGTGCTCCAGGCGCAGGTCAAAGCCCTGGCACCAGAGAAGGGCCCGTGAACACGTGCTGGTGTGAGCTGTGGTTACAGGCGCTGGACTGGTCTCTCCTTTACACACTGGTATTTCCACCCACCTCAGAGCCCGCCCCAGCCGTTCAGCAGTGAAAGTTTGCAAGTTGGTTGTGGTAAGACAGAAGAAGAGGAGCGGCATAAGGCTTTACCTTAGGCCATCAAAGTGAAAAGAATTCAGAAATCGTGACAGCCCCCAACTTTTGGTGTCAATTTCCCAGAGATTTCTTTCTTTTTTATTTTTTTCTTTCTTTCCATTGGGATTAAATAAAGCCATCACAACAAGGTGCTCCTAATGGAAACCAGAACCTCTTTGCACCAAGTGCTACAGACCCACGTGATAAAGGGACAATCTCGACTTACATTCTGAGAGCTAGCTTAGATGAGAATAGTGAATAAAGTAACAACTAGCATACTAAACTGTGAGATCACTCCCACCAGTTTTATATAATATAGAATCATATTAAATTCTATATAATATAGAATTTGGGGTGGAAGAGAGATTTAAAGATCATTTAGTTCCAACGTCCCTGTCACTGCCAGGGACAGCTTCCACTAGACCAGGTTGCTCAAAGCCCCATCCAGCCTGACCTTGAATGCTACCTTGAATGCTACCAGGGATGGGACATCCACAACTTCTCAACCTGTGCCAATGTCTCACCACCCTCATAATAAAAAAAAAAAAAGTCTTCATTACATTCTAATTAAATCTACTCTTTTTAAGGTTCAAAACCATTGCCCCTTCTCCTCTCACTACAGGCTTTGCCAAAAAGTGTCTCTCCATCTTTCTTGTAAGTCCCCTTTAAATACTGAAAGGCCACAATAAGGTCTTCCCAGAGCCTTCTCTTCTCCAGGCTGAACAACCCCAAATGTCTCAGTGTTTCTTCATCTGAGAGGTTTCAGTTCTCTGACTGTTTTCATGGTCCTCCTCTGGACCAGCTCTAACAGGTCCATGTCTTTCTGTCTCTGTAGTGACACTCAGACATTCCCAAAACCACAGGTTTAACTGAGCACTGTTGATCTTGCAGTGGCTACAGGTGAGAGAACCCAGCAGCACCCACTACACAGGGTGCATTGGTTCTGAATGGAGCAGCTGCTGATGGCTGCTCCCAAAGCACTCATCGGTTGATCCTGGGAAGGTGCACTTAATTTAGCCTTAGGCCAAAGGCTGCCACATAATGATGCAGCAAAGTCACACCCTTGAACTTATCCAAACCTACAGAACGTCTCATTTAACTCTGGGAAAAAAAACACCTTTTTTATATTACTTATATAAAGTAACCATTGTTATTTATGAAATAATAATTTTCATCTACAGTTTCCTGGTTACTTTTAAATAGTCTTTCTATTTCTGGAAAGCTGCCTGGCAGCTGGAGCTGGGGGTGCTGGTGGACACCTGGCTGAACATGAGCCAGCAGTGTGCCCAAGTGGCCAAGAAGGCCAATGACATCCTGGCCTGTATCAAAAATAGTGTGGCCAGCAGGAGCAAGGATGTGATCGTGCCCTTGTGCTCACACTGGGAAGGCCACAGCTTGAGTACTGGGTTCAGTTTTGGGCACCACAGTATAAGAAAGACACTGAGGTGCTGGATAACTTTCTAGCATGAGGCTTTGCAGCCTTTAATTTGCATCTGCAATTACGAGACATGTATTTCAGCAGAGCACTAGCAGGGACAGTTGCTATGAAAGTGAAATACATGCACACACGGCTGAACAAGCCTCCCTGCTCTTGACATCTCTCCTGGTGTGGCCAGCAGTGAATGCAAACTCAGCTGTTTGGTTTGGGACACAAACACTCGCAGTTGGAACTGAACCGTTAATTCAGGCCACTGTGAGCAGCTGCTAGGTTTCAGAACGGATTCACCTAGCCTGAGGTCAGACCAGTGACAGAAATGAGAAGCTGCTCTTTCATTACACCACCTCTGGAAGTGTTTAGCACAATATACACACTCCTGTTACCGAAAGGAAATTCACATCCAAGACAAAATTTGTTACAAGTCTTAGTTTACACTTAGAAATGAGAAAGATACTCACTGGATCTCTGGAAACTATTACTGGCTGACAAATCAGTGGAGCCTTCATTTCAAAGAATTTGAGCCAGTTATTCACATCCTCATCGGTATTCAGAGGACAGGCAGAAAATTCTGGAGGCTACAGCAAAAGTAAAAGCTTTGTAAGTGGTAGGAAGACACTTAGAATCATAGAATCCTTTA